GGGGGGGGAAGAAGAAGAAGATACAAGAATACTTAAAAAAATAACATGGAGCAAACATCATACTTCACCATAAATTATTGAAAACATTCCCTTTGAGTTTAGAAACAAGAAATGGATGCTAGCAATGACCATTCTCGTTCAGATGAAGTAGAATAGACCAAAACTATCCTATGAGTCCATACTGATGTGGCATTTTCCACCTTAGGAAATTTTATCCATCTATACATTAGTGATTTCTGCACATTTTTTAATACGTACATTATTATAGGGGAAGCAAAATAATTTTCCCTCTACCTGTCTACGTTCTTGGCTGAGCCCCCCTGTAGTAAATGACAGGTTAACAAGAGAAAAAACAAGCAGAAACTTCATAACGTGTGTTCTTCCCATATATGTGGGAGACACCCAGGAAAAGCTCTCCGAAATGGCCCAAGCCATCTACTTCAATACCTGCTAAAGACAAAAGAAGGCCCCCGGGGGTGGGGAGTCACCAGGAAAAGCATGGTGAACACGAGTGAGGTTGTTCTGCAGGTTTACATCATCCTGACCTTCTCCACTGATCAGAGAGCCTAGAGCCTGAGTCACCCCAATCTTCCTGGTACAGAGAGGGAGACGCTCTTACAAATGGAGATTCCCCTCATAAATACGAACGTCCCTTACCGCAGGGTCACTCGTACTCCATTTTCAAAATGTCTCCTCTGTTTGCTGTTTCTTAAAAATGACCAGCTCAAAACAGTCGATATGCCAAAGAGGCATGTTTTGAGGTGGCATATTCTGCTCCCCTTCATTATACTCTGTTCTAAAAACAAAAAAGGCCCTAGCCAAATTTCAACAGTAATGAGTGAGCCCAAGTCTTAAACACATGCGCACGCACGCGCACACGCACACGCACCCCCGGGAGCAATGACCCTCCTGTTGAAGGGTTCATCGTACTGCAATGTCTGTGGGGAAAATTCACCAATCTGTGTCCTGCCTCTTATTGTGGCAATTAGCATTGGAAATACTTCTGTCTCTGAAAAACTGAGAGATTTGTAGTGGTCTGCAGTTGGCAAATGCGCAACAGGCAGATTTCTCCTGAAGGTACCGGATCCCCCTACTGTCTACCCCACTTATCCTTATAATTCTTTTCTTTATTTTTATTGAAGGATAGTTAACGACGAGTGTTACTAGCTTCCGGCGAACGACTCGATGATCCAACAACTCCAGGCCCTGCTCAGTACACACCAAGATGAGGATACGACTCTTCGTCCCCATCACCCGCCCTACTCACGTCGCCTGGTGAACCAGGAAACCCCGGGCCCTGGAGCCTCCACCCAGCCAGACGCAAAGGAGTCGTAGAAGGTTCTGGGTCTTGTCGGGAGAATGAATTCAAGTACAGACACGCAGCACAGTGAGTGAGTCACGCAAGCAGGTGGCTGATTAAAGGTAAGAGTATACTCCTGAGATGGGAGGTTGGCCAAGCTCAAGAGCGCTGCGTGCCCTGGGGTGGGGTTTCTCTCCTTTATTGACAGCTGTTAGCTAGAGGACAGAGTGTTTATTACTTGGGGCGGGAAGCAGGGTTTGGAGCTTTTTCCTCCTTATTTGCTCAAGGGTGTCCCGTCATGGCCCCCGCCGTCTTGGGCCTGTCTGGTCTGATCCAGCTTCTTCTGGAGGGCTGCCTGGACAGGCCTCTGACTTTCCCGAGAGCTGGCCATGGCTTCCTCACTGCAGACCTCCAGGTCTCCTGCTAGAACCTAACTAACTGCTTGCTCTAACATTTCTTCTTAATAATTTTTTAATTTCCATTTCCCTGCTTGCTTTATCCCCAGAAGCATCCTGCAGAGTCCAGCGCGGACTCCGGCCACTCTCTTCCTTCTGTAAGGAGCGTCACACACAGCAGACCATTCTGTGAGCAAAATCATGGTCTCACAACATCCCCCTCTTTGTGCATCTCTCCATCCTCAGCTGCATCCGAACCATTCCTTCCCTGCTGCTGCCTTCCCTGGAATTAATTAATTCATCAAATATTTATTGAGAACATACTATGAGCCGTTCTAGAAACCAGGAATGCAATAGACAGTCATGTCACCGTTCTCATGGAATTTGCAGCCTAGTGGGAGAGGAAACAATAACGAAACCCGCACCCCCAATATTTTTCAGGTAGTGACATCTGCTTAGAAAGTAAGAACAGAGCAGGAAAATGAATGACGTGGAACCAGCCATGTGAGGATCTGGAGAAAGAGCAAGTGTCAGCTCTTTCTGGAAACACATCACGTCACACGTGTTTGAACTTGCTGGCATGTCAGTCCCAGGTGACCGAGACCGCGTCTGGGTGTGTGGTTCTGTGGCTCTTGTTTCTGTGGCTTCCCCGCTTCTCCCAAGCAGCTGAAGCTAGTGCCCGTCACACCGGGCATCTGGTACCTGTTTGTGGAGGACGTGAGCAGGCTAATTGGCAGGAGGGAGACAGGACAGAGGGGCCACAAGTCAGAAAATGCAGGGCCCTGAGGGCCAGGGAGCACATTCCAGTGTGTTCTAGGGGCTCGGGAACCTGGATGGGCCACTCAGCAGGAAGGGAGTGGCTCTCGTTTACTTCTATATATATATATATTTTTTAATTCAAGTTCGATTTACTTTTGAGAAGATCCTTCTCTCTGCGTAATGGCAACAGGGAAGCCCATGTGGAGATGCTTCCGGTTTGAGCCTGATGTCCCCAAAGGGTGGGCGGCTCCTTGGTTAGTGCCTTGGCCCTCGGGTCCAGCGGCGACCCCCGTGTCCTCAGGCCCAGTGCCGCCCCAGCCACCACCTGTCCTCAAGTTAGAGTTTCCAGGGAAGGGACAGGCTGATCAGTGAGAGACACCGGCCTTCCCACCTCTGTGCCCCAGAAGTCTGAGGGCGTGCTGCTCCCTGTGACGTCCCCCACCCCGGTGGCCCGCACCCTTCGAGACCAGCCCGCCCTGAGCTGGGAGAGCTGCCGCTGGCTCCCCCACCCCCAGCCTTCGTCCTGCGGCCCCATGCGGACGGGCCACGGAACCCCATTCCCATTGCCTGCTGCTTTCGCAGTAGCACAGAGCCGGTCCTTTTAGGTCGATTTCCTCCTCCCTGAGTTCCCAACGTCCTCCTTAAAATCCGAGTGAGAGTTTTCTGCCAAAGTTGGAAGCCTCTTCACCTCTCCTGTCTCTTCCTTCTGCCTCTGAGTGAACCTGTTTCCTGAAACCACAGCGTCCCAGGACGGACCTTCCAGATGCGCCCCTTGTCCCTGAAGTCTGTAACGGTGGCCATCATTTTTGTCTCCACGGCAAGCTGACACATCATCGTCAGAGCCGGAGACCCCTGGGTCTGCATCTAGTCATTGCTGGATCCCTTCAACCTACTGGGTCTCTGATCCAGAGGCTAGGGCTTTGAAATCCCCACAGTCGTGGTCAAGCTAACAACAGTACCAGTAGCCGATCAGAGATAGCACGCATTGAGCACTGGCTGTGGGCCAGTAAAGGAGGCTCCATGTTATCTCCATTTTAGTTTTACTTTTATTTTTTTTAATATATTTATTTATTTATCTATCTATCTTAGGGGTGGAGGGGCAAGGGAGAGAGGGAAACTCAAGCAGACTCCTCGCAGAATGCAGAGCCCTGCAAGGGGTCAACCTCACGACCCCTGAGATTAAACCAAGAGTCAGATGCTCAACTGATTGAGCCACCAGGTGTCCCTACATTCCTCCCATTTTAGAAATGAGGAAATCTGGAGAATACACCATTTTAAATAACTTGCCCAAGCTCACATGCCACTAAGAGATGAATGTGAGCTCGGGTGGTCTGTTGTCTTCAACCCTGGGTGAAAGGGGCAGGGGCTTTAAGAAACTGCAGTGGGCCACGCAGATGTATAGATTAGACCCCCAGTAGTCCCTCTTTGCCCCTGAACGTGAGTAGAGCATCTTGAGCAGAGCAGGACCTACTTCTGTCTATCAGAGCTTGACCCTCCCCTCCTTCCCTGGTACGAAGGCCAAACATTCCCGGCACCAGGACTCTGTTTGTTTTGAGGTGAACCTGCCCCAGCCCCCGAGGAACATCTCAATTTCCAGCTGGAACTCTTGGGTAAGCCTGCGCTGACTCCAGGCATGAGCCCCGTCCCGGGTGAGGGCAGACGCTCGGCTGCCTGTGACAGGCCACCTGCCATTCTGCTACCACTCTAACAGGCCTGGAGTCCCACCAGGCCCCCTTCCTGCTGCTGCAGGTGGGAAAGCACAGACCCTCGGTGAAGGAGCTTCCTTCTCTCTTTGTGCCGTTTAGAGCTCTGAGAGGACAACCTCATCCCCTCTCCTGCACATTCCAAAGGAACAGAGAACTAGGGACAAGACTCAGACAAGGATCACAGCGCTGGCCTTGCAGCTGGCAAGGAATGTAGCTGGCGTGCAAAGTAAGACAGGCCTTCCTGAAACCATCCCCCTCCCAGATGCAAACTTCCCAACAGCTCAGCCAGGAGAACCTCTATTTGCTTCCCACCTGGTGGAGAGGGAAGGGTCCCAGAGCCCCAGGGAGAGCTGTCACATGCATATGAAACTTGACTCTGAGCTGTGAACGAGTCAGGCTTGGAAGAGACGCCAGGTAAGTCCCTCCTCTTCCCCCAAAGGAGGAGCCCATCAGAGGCACATGGAAGCTTCCCCTGCCTGGGACCGTCTCCAAAAGAGCCCAAGATCTGGTCCCGCTTGGTCACACTGCTATTATCACCTGTGTCCTCTCCAGCATCCCTTAGTCCACCGATAGAGAAACGAAGACACAGGGAACCGGATAAGCGCACCGATGGGTTTGGGACGACTGGAAGAAACGGGCGGAGTGTGCGTGGCGGTCACTCGGAAGGGTCGCTGGGGCACCAGGAGCTCTTCCTGTGAAGAGGGGCCCCCAGGCGGCCGGCTGCGGGGGGGCAGGGTCTAACCGTGGCCAGGTAAGAGGCAGGGGCTCCACAGCGCACCCCTCACTCGTGCTAAGCAGCAGGACGGCAGCACAGTACTAAGACACGAAGCAACAGTATTTAAGGCTCGCAAATCTTTATTTCAAAAAGATTAATGACAGGAACATTTAGAAAATCTGATGCCGCCACAGGATGAAGCCCTCAAGCAAACCGGAGAAAACAGGGACTTGCTCAATGTGAGCGTTGAAAGAACATACTAGATCCCAGAAGGAATTCCAGACAGACCCAAAGGGTGGCATTAGAAATAGGAACATCGCAAGATGCCAAACAGAAAAACAAATCACTGCCGTGGAAGAAAGCCTTAAAAAAAAGTAAAAGCCCCCGTGATAAGGCCGAGGCACCCGGGTAAGAGCGCTCTGAGCGATGGCAAACGAGGAGGGGAAGTAACGGAAATACCGCTCAGGTGGTCCTGAAGAAAGAAAAAGAACAAATGGAACAGAAACAACAGCAAAGCATTCCTTTTTAGATGTTTAAGTCTTCAAATGGGAAGGAGTGAAGACTTAAAGATCCTTGTAACTTAGAGGGACCACATCCTGAAGGATGGGATGGGGGGGTCAGAAGGCTGGGAAAACTCTCTTCCTGGATTATGCAGAGAATTCCGTAAAGTTCAATTGAAGGGGGTGGGTTTGCCTTGCAAGGGAAATGCAAATGTTAGCGGGGCTGCAGGTAAGCACCCCCTCACCCCCACCCCGATGGGGTCCAAGCACTGGACTCCCTTGGAGAGCTCCTTAGAGAGCTCCTTGGAGAGCGCTGATGCTTGGTCCCCTCCCAAAGGTCAGACTTAACTGGCCTCGGGTGCAGCCTGGTCATCCTTCCATGAGATCCCGGAGAGCTTCTCTGCTGCGGAGGCAGTGGGGGGGGGGGGCTGGTGGTCCCCACGGGCCTCAGCGCCACAGCTCCTTCTTGAGGAACACTTCACCTCGGGTTTCATATAGCAGGTTCCGCCAGTTCAGGACATTAGGGCTCAAGGCCCCGGTGGTGTAGAGGGTGCGAATCTGACTTGGCGACAGCACAAAGTCCCACATGTTCACGTCCTCGATGTCGCCCACCAAGGACTGGTTCTTATCAAAGCCCCCACCGAACGAGTCCTGCTCCTGCCCGAGGACGATGCTGGCTCCCGACCCCACGGTGTACCCCCTCCTCAGACTCGCCCTCACCATGGGCTTGCCGTCCACCCAGAGCTCTGTGAGCCCCGTGATGGACTCCCAGGTGACACAGAAGTGCTGAGGCGTGTAGAACATCTCAGGAAACTTGATGAAGGCGTCAGATCCGCCCACGGATACGCTGAACAAGCCGGGCCTCTCCTTGAAGAGGAGGATCTCATTGCTTTGTGACTTGGTGGCGTAAGAGAAGAGGCTGTGCGGGCGCGTCAAGTCCGTATAGACCTGCAGGCACACGGTGAAAGCCTTCATCGGCTTCTGTAACTGAGGAAACAGGATCACGTAGGAATTCTCTGATTCTTTGGGGAACACGAAGGCATTTCTGTCCAGGTCTGTAGGATGGGAAGCTGAAAGAGAAAGAGCCACTGGTTGGTTGTGTTAAAACACACGCACATGCACAAGATTCAGATGAGAGCTTAAGGATGCAAGAGGCTTTAGTCACCCCGTCACGAAGCGGGCAGCTCGCCGCCTGGAGCTCAGAGGAGCCGTGCAGTAGAAGGGCCGGGGCACAGAACGTCTCTGGCAAAGGGCAGTCACCTTCCCGGGGGGTTGGGGGGGAGCAAGGGTTCTTCTCAGGTGGATGACGTCACCAGCGCCGAGCAGGCCTTCCTGGGCCTTCCCGGGCCTTCCCAGACTGACCGGGTAAAGGTCACACTCGGGGCACAGGGGCGGGCACCACAGTCACATTTGGTATTAAGTCTGGGTTCCCTGATGTGGGGCTTAGCTCGAGTGAGCCCCCTGGGGCCGCCGGTCTCTTGGTAACAGCTTGTCAGGCCAGGAGGCCGGCCTCTCTCACTCTGTATGCAGAGAATGAATTTTTTTTTTTCTTATCAATCTCTTTTTGATTTATTTATTTTTTTAATAAATTTATTTTTTATTGGTGTTCAATTTGTCAACATACAGAATAACACCCAGTGCTCATCCCATCAAGTGCCCACCTCAGAATGGATTTAGAAGCGGGAGGCCACCCCTGCCCCGTATGGGCCGGTCCCCCTGGCTTTGCACCCTCGAGCCCAGAGACAAGAACTCCTCGACCATCTGGAGCAGCACTTACCTATCTGGAGAAAAGCACCAGGGAGGTTCATGAGGACCAGGAGACAAGGCCACAGCTTCTCCATGTCTCCTCCCTGCGTCACTGTGCGCAGAATCTGGGTTATCGTCCCGGGAGAGAGGGTCAGCAGCTGAGATGTCCATCCCGGGTCTGCTCTACCTTGACCTTTTATGTGCCTCCGTCTGGGTGGCTCCACCAATGGGTAAATGATTTCCCAAAATTGTCCCTTGGCGCCATGAATCAAAGCCCGAAAAGCAAATAAACTAAGATAAATCACAAATGAGAGATCAATGCGGGTTATTTATTAGAGACTCCGTGGTGCCTGCTGGGGCTCCAGCAGCTCTGTGTGCCAGGGCTTGGCTAATTAAAAGTCACATCCTGGAAATCCATGCTGGGGAAATGCTCTAAAAGATCAGGGGTGGTTGGGGATGAGGTGGAAGAGGCCTTATTCATAAAGACAACCACGGCATTACTTAGGATAGTGAAGTTAGAACACTGGGGCATGTTGGAGTAGATTGTACGTATCTGCACCCCTGAGTAGAGTGGAGAGCCATTCACAACGCTGGTTGTGGGTTTTATGCCACAACATGTAAAAATGCTAAGGATACTGTAAGAGAAAAGATAACATAAATTTGTTTATGCACTATTTTTTAAAATATTTTATTTATTTATTCATGAGAGACACAGAGAGAGAGAGAGGCAGAGACACAGGCAGAGGGAGAAGCAGGCTCCATGCAGGGAGCCCGACGCGGGACTCGATCCTGGGACCCCGGGGTCACACCTTGAGCCGAAGGCAGATCTCAACCATTGAGCCCCCCAGACGTCCCTATCCACTATTTTTTTTAAAGAAGTCACTTGTTTGAAAAAAAAAATCTATAAGGGGTACCCCCAAACAATAAATATTCTTATTATAGTAATGAAATTAGGGGGGACTTTTTCCCTCGTTGACAACATTTACATGTAGTTACGTGACTTGTAAGATGAAGTGTGTGTGTGCATGTGCATTTAATTAGGAAGCAAGGAAACCAGTAGTCCTTAGAGCTCCAAAAACTGCTATTTCCTTTTATCGACAGGACGCGGAGCCTGACTGCTGCTATTTGGCTTTACTCGCAGAGCGCCTAGAACAGAGAGCAAGATCAGTTCGACATCCTGATTCTGAACTTGGAAATACGCACATTTCTCTATGAAACATTATATCTCATGTGAAGAGAGTCTTGAGCTTATTCATTGTGGTCTCATCACTTCCCATTTTCCATGAATGGGAAAAATTGATCATAAAGCTTATTTCTCAATCGACTGGAAGAACCAGCTACCATGTGGGGAGCGTATTCCAGACGCACAAGGTAATGGGACTATTGCAAATGGTTAGTACCTTTCTGAAAAAGTACGAGGTTTTTTTTTTTTTTTTTGTTTTTTTGTTTTGTTTTGTTTTGTTTTAATGACATGCAGTTAAATTTGCTTTCAAATGACCCTCCCTTGAAACTTCTTGCATCTTATTTTTAAAATATAAGACCGGCTTAACGTGACTACTTCAAAAGCTTTTCTTATTCCAACCATTTGCCCAGTTAAAGATAGATGCATAATTTGAACAGAAAATATATATATAACAGATAGAAGGTCGGGACACGAACAGAAGGGGTGTTTTTGCTGTGCTCCAACTGCCTTTTCGTTAGCACGGGGCTCCCCGGATGAGCCCAAAGAATGCAGGTTCTGGGGGGATGCGTGGACTCCGTGGAAATATTATGAACTTCAAGGGGCCCAGCACGTGGTCCGAAAGATCTGCAGCGGATGCCCTGGGCCAGGCTTGCCACTGACAGCGGACGACATGGGGAGAGCGGAGATGGGGGACTGAGGGCAGACACAACGGGGAAGAGGGAAAAGCAAGGACAAGGGACACCAAAGGCCCCTGCAGCGGAGCGTTTGAAGTCGGCTCTGGGTTTGAGGAACCTGCCTAGATGGCGTGGTGACAGCCTGGGGGTCTGAGCGTGGCTGTGAGCCTCGTTGGGTGACAGGGGGTGATGGGGCAGCCAGGCCACGCCGGTGATCCTTAGCCCGGCCCAGGCATCCGCCCCCCTGGCCCCTCCAGCTCACGCTGTTCCATAGGAGCCCTGAAGGGCCTCGGGGCACCCCACGGCCGCCCGGGTACCACCGCGGGGACAGAGAACGTTCTAAGAGCACAGGATGCCGGTTCCCGCAGTGCAAGTCTTCGAGCAACTACAGCCCGGGGGCGGCGGGTGGAGGGCCGGCACCTGGGCTCACCCAGGAGCAGCAGGACACCAGGCCCCGGACCGACGGGGCGGCCCTTCCCCCAGAGGCCACTGGAAACCGCCGTCACAGGAGGGCGACAGGAGGCCAGGGACGCGTGGGACCCAAAGGGCCCCGCGTGGGTCTGGGACACCAGCTGTCTCCTTGAAGCTCGGGGACCTGGCGCACATCGCAGGCCCTGGAGCAGCCTGAAGGGCCCGGGCGCCAGGCGGCAGGAGCAGCCAGGCCATCCCAAGGGCAGCATCGCTTCCCCCGCTCCCTCACCCGGGGTGCTCCCCAGGACGTGAACGCGGCCCCAGCACCCCGGGCAGCACAGGGGTCCAAGTGGCCGGGTGGCCGAAGAACAGGTGTCACGAGCAAACTGTGCCGGTGTTTGGCTGGTGCCAGGGCAGAGCAGGCCTCTCCTATGCTCGCGGCAGCCAAGCGACAGCCAGGGAGGCCGTGGGACCCCGGAGCGGGGCGCCCGGTGCGTGGCGGCCAGGTATACCTGCCCCCGGGGTCCAGCGCCCAGCGAAGCCCTGCTGCCTGGGGTGGCTCACAAGCCCGGCTCTGGGCCGGTGACTTCAGGGCGTCACCCCGGGGTCCCGGGATCGAGTTCCACATCGGGCTGCCTGCGTGGAGCCTGCTTCTCCCTCCACCTGTGTCTCTGCCTCTCTCTATGTGTGTCTCTCATGAATAAATAAATAAAATCTTTTTCAAAAATAAAATAAATTAAAATTTTTTTAAAAGACCACCTGCCTTTAAGCTTATTGGGAGCCAGTCATATCCCCCAAATAAGATATCTGAGCTGCCAGGAAGACACTAAAGCGATGGTTCTAAGAACATACTGGGCAACTGAGCTGGTAAATCGCAGATTCCAGGGCTCTAACTCTGGAGCATCTAATCTAGTCAGTTAGAGTCAATGAAATCCAGCCTCCGAGCCTAGACGCTGGTCATCCCGGGTAAAGCTCTTCAGAAATCAAAGCAACGCTTCTGGGATTCTGTGGATCAGAAATCTTATGTGGGAAGCTTGGCTTGGGAGGTCTTGCTGTCGCTGCTGTTACTGTTGATGTTGTCATGATCTGGAGTCCTTGGCTGTGTTTTGTCAACCTTTGCGCGTCAAACCTAGCAGTAAAGAAAACCGTGGGGGGAAACATCTCAGACCTAGCTAGCATCCTACCTGCTGGGTCCCCTGGGACTCCAAATCCATTTCCATCAGGCCCCAACCCCACTTCGAGGCAGCCGGCAGTCCCTCCTCCGGGTCCTGGCTAGACCTCGGCGATGGCTCGTCCACTCATGCAGCGGGAGGCCATGCGAGGCTTGTCACCATGAACAATGGTCCATGATTTCTGCCCAACACAGGGAGATTTTTTTTTTTGGTACCTGGTATGACATCATCATGTTGCATCACACGCTAAGAGGCTCACCCTTGGGTCAGGCCTGGCCCCGACTCTTGTCCTATAAGTAGCAGCCTCCAGCATCTCCCTACGATTTTACATCTACCATCTCTGACATATACGATTGGTCTACCCCCCTCTTCTCTGGCCCGGGAAGGTGCTGCAGCATCTTTTCAGGTGCGGGGCTACCACTCCTGTGGGACTTAAGCTCCTTCTCATGGATGGAACTATACAAATCTGTTCTCCTCATCCCACCCCTTTTGAAAGAAAAAAATGTTTGTGGTCTACTAGGTGTGTGCCCCTTGTATAGTTTACCTCCTTTTGCTCATGGAAGGCCCTCTATGGTAGTTTTATTGTGGGATTTAGGTATCATTTGGCCCTATGTCCCTCTAGCTTCAGCCTTAATGCCTGATTCCACTTCTGGATGCATGACCCCTACTATAAAGGAAAACCACCGCTGACGACGTGGCTTTATTAACATCAGCGCAAAGTGGCCTCAGTGTACAATTAATCTTACTCTCCACTTACTGTGAAATAAGAATTGCTTAGAATCAACTCACCCAAACTAAAATCACCCTTTTTGGCAGATGTCACCCGACATTTAATTGGATTATGTCTGACAACTCTATACAGCCCAAATGTGTCAGTTACCTTGGGATATATTTTCTACCAAAATTACCTGGAAGTGCCTACCAGTGAGCTAAATTGTTTAAATTTGAACATTCCAGGAAAGCTTTATTGAGATTTTTTAATGTTCACTAAATGCAAATACCAGCTGTAAAAATTTTCCTGGCTAAAATTATTAGGGCCAGAGGCTGTCCACCAAACTATGTGTAGTAAAGTAACAGTAATTGAATTCTGGGGAAAATATTAGCACAGCCCACGTCCCCGGGGAGTTGGCATGGTCTTCTATAATTAAGACATATCTCCTGACTGGATTCTTAACTAGAAAAAAGTGTCAACCCTCTCTTCTGCTTAGCTGAATGTCAGGGTATATGGATCTGCCCTAATTGGACAACAGAGAATATTTGCACTCACATTTTTGACTGAAAATATATCCTTAACTTGTATGCTTCCAAATAGTTATCAAAAGTCAATTAGGGGAATCAATATTCATAAATAATTACTGGAAAGATTTGCTGTTCATCCTCCTAATATCCTGAACCTAATCTTTTGCAAAACCCTCAATTGCCGCTACCTCAGACCAGTTCCCCAAACTGTACTTAAAGATATATATTGCAGCTGTGTTCGGGGATATACGGCAAGACAGCCTAATGACAACGACAGCAGATAACGGCTTTTGAGAGCTTACATGCCAGACGCTGCAGTAAGTGCTCTCTATGCATGATCTTGTTTGATTCTTATGGCAACCCTTTGAGCTACTTACTACTGAATAGGCCACCCCCAAATATGCCACTTTGACATATTATATTGAAATAAAGTTACTTAAGAAACAGCCAGTGCAGGAAGGATAGTCCAACCCTCTTCTGTCCCTCTGAAAGCAGGAAATAAA